TTTCTTCTTTCTATTATGACTGAAAAAATTATCGAATCAAAATACAAGTCATTCATAATCATAAAAAATACAATTTATAATATGTAATCATATCAAGCCATGCATTTGCCAAAAGAGTACACAAACAAATTTTCAAAATATAGCAAATATTATAATATATATGTGAGACTTAAATGAATATTCTAATATTTGATTATTTAGTCTCAACTCAGTGATGCTTTATTTTCTTCAATCAAATATAGTTATAATAAGCATCTTTATTATATCAATTCATGTGGCTTAAGGATATCATGTAAGCATGGTATGACAAACATATATGTATGGTAATGATGTATTCATATATGCATGACAATCTTATATTAGTCAAAAAAAATCTTTAAGGAACATACAAATCTTGATAAAGAGTGAATAACTATAAATATAGCTACCAATGCAAAAGTATAATCAAAATCAAAATATTTTATTTGATCACTAATTTGTCTCCGACCATGTATTTTGAACATTCATTGTCCAAGTACCATTTCTTTTCTACCGATTTTACCTTGAAGCACACCTTACAAAAGAAATTAAGTATTCGATTTTGATACCCATATCTTTTTGGGTCCATGACTATCAGTTTCAAGATTACTTGATTTTGGAACCTAGATCTTTTTGGGTCCGTGTTTGTTAGTTTCAACATTACTTGATTTTGGAGCCCATCTCGTATTTGTTCCTAGTAAATCCCTTTTGTAAGGACATGATGAAAATGAGTGCACTTTTCTAAAATAATAATGACAAGTAATGTGTAAGCTACAAGAAAAGCAAGCTTTAACAAAGAAACTCCAACACTGGCTTTGTCGAAAACACATATTTGATTTTCAAGTAATTGATTTAAATTTTCTTTTACTTATGTGAATTTAAAATCTATTTTATTAAAATCTTCTATATTTTCTTTTAAATTATCGACGTATCATCTCTCCATAGTTGGCCGGATTGCCATAAGCATGAGAGAGAGAAGCATCAAATCATGCAACTTAGATCACCATCACCACCTTCAACTGTCGCTTCTTTTGCTTCTTTTTTTCTCCTCTCTCTTTCCATTCTTTACAAAACCAGATTTGGTCCGTTCTCCAATCTATGTAAGGCGAGAAAGGGAAGAAGATGATGAGAAGGGAGACGACATTAGAAGGAAAAGAATGAGCAAAAGGGGGGAGGAACATGAGAATGAAGGGGTTGGACAGAGCAACGTAGACGATAAGTGGAAGAGGAAGAGGCTATGGTTGCTTTGCTATTGTTGTTTTTTTTTTTTTGGTGGCTTTAACCAAAATAGTGTTGTTTTATACAATTGCAAGAAAACTCTATATAAGATAACTATAGATGATTTGGACGCGATAGAGACATTTGATTTGACCAGGCCACTTGGCCATATAGCAACGACCCTAGAAGCTGTCGTTTTACGAATAACGACTACATACATATATTTAAGATAAATTACAAATATATCTCGTGAGATTTTTTTAAAATATGAATTGTCCTATGTGATTCAAAAAATTACAAATACCTCTTTATCAAATTTTTTATTTAACATAATTAATTAAAAAAATAAAATCCTTAACTGTTCTTCTATACAATAATACAATTATCATAATTATTAATTGAAATAAATTTAAAATATCATTAAATATTATTAATTGACTTTATGATTTATTAATAAAAGGGATCATTTTTTATAAAATTAAAAATTTAAAGGGGCAAGATATAATTTCCAAGAATATAGGAACAATTTATATTTTAAGCAAACCTGATGATTTATTTGTAATAGGTATATAATTGGTTCGGTATGGTCAGTGTTTAGATAAAAAATTTCATCGAATCGATAATGTCGGTTTTATTATTTTGAGTACCGATATAGACTGCTTCTCTCATCAGACTGCAACGAAAACGGTTCGATTTGGTGCGGTTTAATCAGTTTAGTACCTTTCAAATTTAAACCATTTTTTAGTATAGTCACTCATTTATGTAAAAATATTGAATTAGCCATTTGTCAACCATTTCAAACATATCCTAAGATTATATAATAAGGATATACTAACTCTGGTTATAAGGATGATATGGTTAATTAATTGAGATTAATAATTTATTATAATTATTAATATTATTATATTATAAAAGTGTATATATATATAGAGAGGGAACTATATGCAGGTAAGAGAAGGGAAAAAAAATTGCAAACAAATGGAGGGTGCAAATGTGTCAGTTTCGGTTCAGTTTGGTGTATAAAGTGCCCACATGTATATAGTTCCTCCTATATTATAAATACAATACATGTTCAAATGGTCAGTTTCAATTTAGGGGTTGTTTGGGATGATCTAAATAAGTACACTTTTTGACTTTTTACGAAAAAACGTGAAATATGGGTTGGGTTTAAAGTGATGTGGTAGAGAGATGATGTGATTTAAATGAGATGATATGACTTAAGTAAGATAGTGACTTTTTGAATTTTTTGTGTTACACCAAACTAGGGCTTAGTTCGGTGCATAAAGTGCTTAAACTGATACTAAACCGGGAAAAAAAAAAATCAAATTTAAAAACCACACAAACTAATTTTTGTTAAAAAATAAACCAAATACAAACAGTTTAGTTTGATTCAATCAGTTTAGTTAGTTTTTCTTACCTCCCTAATTTGTAATGGGAAATTTGGCCATAAATCCCGTTTAGCTTCCTTTTCTTGTTAAAATGACCCAAAAAAAAAAAAAAAATAGTACTTTCAAAACCGCCTCATAATTATAAAGTTCTGTATGAAGGACAAAATTTTTTAATTGAATATTTTATTTGATCATTATACCAATTTCTTTCTTCTCTTTCTTTTACAGTTCTCTCTCTCTCTTTTCGCCAACTCGACGAATGTTCATTCTCTCCACCAATCTTCATCGTTTACTGGCGTTGCTCATCCTTATCATCGGCCAACAACCACCATTTTTACCATCAAACCACCATCATCTCAGATTTGATACCTACGAACTCATATTTGAAATCAATGACTTCAAATTTGAGATTAAAAAAAAAAAAACTTAGATTTGACAAGAAAAGAAAATGAGAAATAGAGATATTGTAATGAAAAATCAAGAGTTTTTGTTTGCTTGTTCATGGATGTAAAGGTAAAATTTGATTTTAGTTTGTTCATTTAGGCCTCGTTTGGAAACAGGCTAATTTAGTAACTATTTGGCTATTTGGCTAAAAAGGTAGGTAAAAAAAACTTGTATGTTTGGGATGACTTTTTGGCTAATTACGAAAAGATGTGTAAAAAGTAGAGAGAAAAGAGAATCTTTGACTTTTTGGTATGGGTTGTTGGCTTTTTGGCTAATTTAGTAAATTTTTGGCTAATTGGCTAAAATAGCCTCTTGCCAAACGAGGCCTTAGTATGTACTTTATTTTTTATAATAGTAAAATTTTACTTTGGTTGTTATACGTTGATCTACTTAACGACAGTAAAATTTTACTTTAAATCATAGTAAATTTTACTCTGATTTAAAATAAAATTTTACCATTTTTTTAAAATTTATTACAGAGTAAAATTTTATTCTAAATTAGAGTAAAGTTTAATATAATTTAAAGTAAAATTTTACTCTGAAACAAGTTGTGAGGTATAGGAGAGTACTGTGTCATGAACCGGAGTAAAATCTTACTATTAAAAAAAAAGAGCATCATGAGAAGAAGAAAGAGAGATAAGAAGACATAATTCGAAAATAGAGAATCATGAGAAAGAAGAAGAAGAAGAGAGAGAGAGCATAAATGGTGAGTAACACACACACATAGAGAGAGCACGGACCATCAGAACCCAAAGAGAGAGAGTGAAGGATCTTAGATATGAGGTTTGTGAACCGTCGTGAATCATCTTTTTCCGACAACGACAACTGTGAATGATCCCAAATCTGAAGTTATGGATGCGAAGAGTGATGGTGACAATAAAGACGGAACAAAAAAATTCTATCGTAAGCGATAGTGGCACTAGTGTAGAGCATCGTTGACACCAATGTAGAACGTTGATGGAGAGCAACAATTATAAGAAAGAGATAGAAAAAAGATATATATATATATATATATATATATATGTGTATATAAATAAAAACAAAAGCATAAAAAATTCCACAAATTCAAAAGCATTCACATTTCTGATTTCGGATTTCCAAACCCTGATTTCTGATTTCAAAAAATTCCAAACCCTAATTTCAAAAAAAAATTCAAAAAATTCCACAAACCCTAATTTCCAAACTCTAATTCCACAAACAAATTCAAAAAATTCCAAACCCAAAAAATTCTAAACCCTAACACATTTAATAATTCACATATAAAACCCTAATATTCACAGCAAATTAAAACACATAACATTTTCACAAACACAAAAAATAAATACATAAAATTAGGGTTAAATGTCATACCACGGAAAGAGAGAGAGCAGAGATTAGGGTGAGAGCAGAGAGCAGAGAGCAGAGGGAGAGCGATAGTGAGCCGAAGCAGAGCGAGATCGAGTGAGTCTGAGAGCAGAGGGAGATGGAGAGTGAGAGATGAAGAGTGAGAGATGGAGAGTCTGTAGATCGAGCAGAGACGAAAAATGTAAGTGTGAAAAACATGAATGCAAATGACGGGGTTCGGCTTTTATAGCAGTGTGAAAAACGCTTTTTCAATTAGCGTTTTCATTTAGCTACAGTGAAATCGCCATTAGAAATAACGTTTTATTTACAAATGTGATGCACAGTGAAGTCGCTATTCTGAATAGCGTTTTCTCAAAATGAAGCGCTAGTAGAAATAACGTTTAATAATTTAAAACCGTTATTCCGAACAGCGTTTTATTAATTAAACTCACGATTCACAATAGCACCTTAATTATTCATCAAATTTTGGCCTCTAAACAATTAAAGCGCTATTTATAATAACGATTTAACTTAGTTTAAAAATTCCGTCAAAACTAGACTTAGTTTGAAAAATAAGAGACAAAAGAGGCTTGGTTTGGCAAAAGTCCCCCAATTCTGCCATTTGTAATTTAGCGATGCATGTATCATGCGTGCTCTGGCTGCCCCAATCTCCAGCATCGCTTCCGTATTAAAAACCTAAAAACCCTAAACCCTAACTCCTTGATCCCCTCCGCCTGCGACGCTGCTACTAGCTCTCTCTCTCTCTCTCTCACATAGCAGGCAGTTGAAGATATGTTGCGAAGGAACGTAAGGCTGAGGAGAGAGTACTTGTACAGGAAGAGTTTGGAAGGCAAAGAGCGTTTGCTCTACGAGAAGAAGCGAAAGATCAAAGAAGCCCTTGACGGTACTCTACGGCTACTCTACTCATTCCATTCACACACACACACTCTTTTTTCTTGTTCTAATTAATTACTAAATTAATTAATTGAATCCAAAATTTCTCTTGTTTGTTTTTATACAGAGGGAAAACCAATCCCTACTGAGCTCAGAAACGAAGAGGCCGCCCTTCGCCAAGAAATCGACCTCGAGGACCAAAACACTGCCAGTATGCTTCTTCTCCTTTTCTCTCAGACTCTCTCATCTCATATATATACATATATTATGCCAATATGTGTATGCTGCTCGGATTGGAATTAAATAGATTTTTTTTTTTTAATTTTTGTTAAGCTGGCAAGAGGGTAAATCATAGCCTCCCAAATCAAGTAAAACATGTCCCAAGATATTTCACTTTGTTTGCTTGAGTTTTTAAAATAAAAAAAAAAACTAGTACTTAATTTGGTACTCATTATTTTAGTATGTCTTCCATTTTTTGATGCGAAAATAACTTTTATAAATTTAAAAATATTTTTTGTTGTTTATTTTGGTTGTAATAGTTTATTTTTTAAAAATAAAAAAATAATTTCTGAAAACTCAATTAAACAAAGTGTTTTTTTAGATTGGGAAAGACACAATGATATTTTGTGCATAAGAAAGAAATGAAATATTTGTAGCATACTGTAGATCTTAATTGATGTTATAAAAATTTTATTCACTTCAAGTGATTAGGACAACCACTACCAACTCCAATTTTATCCATGCCTGCACGGTGACCATTAAAATTAAAGAGCCTAATAATATGAAAGATTTCTAAAGTTGAAAAAAATAGAGATTTTAGCTGCTGAAAATGTAACGAAGATAATTAGTTAATTGGTAAATCAAATAGCTGTGCTTCAAATTTTCGACATGCAGGCTTTGATGTTTGTGTATATGTGAATTGACTGCATTGATCATGTTTGTGTATTTGTACTTTAGTTTCTATGGATGTGGAAGGATGTGGGCTTATGTAAAATAGGCTTACTTTTTTAGAGGTTTATGTCGGAGAAGGGCCTAAGATCCTTTGATTAGATTGAAGTTAGTAAAGGTAAATTAGTTTGTAACTGTTTAAATTGGACAAACATGATTAGAATGTCTCCCTCGTGTTCTATCTATGTATAATCGTTTTCATTTGTAAATGTGTGAAGAGAATAAGTACGTAAAGAATGAACTGAAGTTGCAATTTGAAGGAATAAAAAATTTCAATGTTTAAGACAAAAAGTTATCAAGCTTGTTTTTGCTGCATTGATCTTCTTTGCCCATTTAATGATTAATGGAAGTTTGACTAATCTTCATACAAAGTAAGCATCTATGCGTGTAAAGCCACAAACACCTTCTCTTTTTGTTTGTGTGTGAATTTAGGTTCATCATAAACTATGGTGCAGTGTTTGAAGCGTGTATTTAAGAATATAGGTGAGTGTCAATGTCTTGACTATCTGTTTACTGAGAGCTTCACATTGCAGTGTAAGCCTCAGATCACTTTTAAGCTGCACAGCTTTTACTAGGGATAATTTTTTGGAAACTCATCTTAGGGTGAAATGGTAGGTTTAAATCTCCAAAAATAAGGTTCTATTAAATGTTTTTTGAGGTCAGTCTGTGATGGAATTAGTGCAGAACTCAACATTACCTTCTAGACTTCCAGTGAAAATCACATTAAGCCAATTTGAAGTTGCTCAAATGCCAAAAGTTGATAGCAGACTGATAGGATGAGATTTAAAATGATATTTGGACTCCATTGGCGTCGTTGTACTGGTTCTTTTAATACATAATGATGAAGTACAATCATATGAACAATGTGTGCATACTAGAGACAAATGGACATACCCTCAACTTCCTTGGTTCATTGATTTTTTTACTTTGGTAAGAGTCTATTTACATGTGCTTACCATAAGGCCATGTGTTATGGATTCTGATGTCGGTTTTTGTGTCAAAATCGATTTGGAGTTTGATTTACTATAGCTATTGGCCATCTGCAGTTAGTGATTTTGCTATTGATTTGGATATTTTTTTCTTTTCTTTTTGTACACATGAAAGTTAAGTAAATCTGGTTTCTTTGCTTGAATCTAGTTCCAAGGACACATATCGATGATGAGTATGCTAATGCATCCGAAAAGGATCCTAAAATTTTGTTAACCACCTCCCGCAATCCAAGTGCTCCTCTTACACAGTTTGTAAAGGTTGGTTCAGTCTAATATGCCCAATATTTTGTTTGCCTAGTCTACACATTTTGTTGTCTTTTTATGCACGTGCAGTTTAGTTACATCAAATTGTTATCAAACGAAACTTTTTGCAGGAATTAAAGATTGTATTTCCTAATGCACAGAGGATGAATCGTGGTGGTCAGGTCAGCTTATTGTTGATTTCATTTTATTTATAATTTTCCTATATAATTTAGGGCGTGATTGCTCATAGTACCACCATAAGCTCAAATAAATTCTTAACATTTTTTTTTGTATTTTTTGAAATTTATTTGTCTATACTTGGTTTCAATAAAGTTTTTTTTTTTTTAAGTTTTTTTATGTTTTTAACTTAAGCCTGCCTGCTCAACTGATAAAGTTATTTTGCCCTACATTTCCCCCCCTGAATATTTAAGTGCAATGTAAATTACAAAATTTTGATTTATGACTATTGTTTCTGAAAATGATATTTGTAGTTAAGAGTGCTAACATAACCTCTAGTGAAAGAACTAATTCTGCATATAGAGTTATGTAGATTAATTGGTTAATAAGTGATGTATGAACATAAACCAAGTCCAATATGGGATCACCTTGCACCACCCGGTTTGCATATTTGACCACTACTTGTAAGGATCCTTATAGTTATTTCTCGGTGGTTATATAATAGTTTTTTTACCATTTGTTGTGCTTACTTAGGGCTTTTCATTTATTTGTTTGTTAATCTATTCTTTATTTATTTATTTGATTATTACCTATGTACCAAATTTGAATGATTGTGTGGAGGTTCCACTGAAAAAGGCTCCCCAGGAAGGAGATTGTTGTGCAAGATGCCATGGATAATAGGGCAAAAAATGATATTCCTGTTGCTAGCACAAACATGTCTAATGCTTTAATGTGCTTCACTTGTGGCTCTCCATGCTTGAAGGTGAAGATAAGATTGAAAATTCTATCACTTCTCGAGAGAAAATTCGCAACTTGAAGTTGGCCTGGGAGAGAGGAGGTATCAAGATTGCTTAACTACCTTATCCTCGAGTTGTGGAGGATGTTTTATTTTGGTCTAGTGTCACAGTCTGAATCTTTTAGCTACGTAGCAGAATAATTTTTTGCTCATGGGGTGCTTGAACTCCACCTAGTCTAAGCCCACCGAACTCTTTCAAACATATGAGTGTTGAGTCTTTCACTCATCTTGACATATGTAGGTCCAAACTTATCTAGCAAGAACAATTCCTTTGAAAGAAATCTCGCACTTTAAATGCCACTTGAAGACATGCTTGTCCCAGGTTGCATGTCTATACGGCTAATAGGTTGCTTCACCACACCGAGCTCACCTATGAGCAAGGCAACTCCACCTAGTCTAAGCCCACCTAACTCTTTCAAACATATGAGTGTTGAGTCTTTCACTCATCTTGACATATGTAGGTCCAAGGTCCAAACTTATCTAGCAAGAACAATTCCTTTGAAAGAAATCTCGCACTTTAAATGCCACTTGAAGACATGCTTGTCCCAGGTTGCATGTCTATACGGCTAATAGGTTGCTTCACCACACCGAGCTCACCTATGAGCAAGGCATGCTTGTCCCACCGAAGGATCAAATGTCAAGGCATCTCGTGCCATCAGTGCCAATCAGAAGTGTTGCCCACAACTAAGCTACTTGAGGTTGCCTAACCATGTGCTAGCATAGGCCCCCAACCTTTGAGACAAGCTTCCATTGCATTTATGGTCTTTGTTGTGCACTTCTTGAATATCACAGGGCCCTCCTTTACCCCACACTATACTGAGGGTTGCTTGTGCGACCACATCATACTCGTTCATGCTTGTATGCTCTTATACACCAAGGGGCATTGCACGGCCAAGGCGTTGCACTTGCGTGTTGCATGAGCAAGGCAACTGTGGTCTGTAGCCCCCACCGATAGCATACCCTCCCAAAAGCTATGCACAAGGTGCATGGCATTATGATAGGGCTACATGCCTGTAACAACCCCAAATGATTGACATATGATAACTCTGATTAATCCTACTCAATTCAATAATCATTATTCTCCAATCATCATTATACAGGTCAAATATCTATGTTTCACGACATATAGGAGATTTACAAAAGGAATCCACATGCAGTTACATATTCAATCTCCTATAAGGTATGAATCTATAGCATGTAAGATAGATAATATAAAGGAACAATTATAAAATAAGCTCCTTGGGCCACAAGTTCCAAGGTTTGAGCTTGGTTACAAGTAAATGGTTTACAAACCCATACATGTAAGCCCTTGGCTTAGCAAAAATACAACAACTAAACAAAAGAGTCTTGCGCTCTCAAAACATCCACTCGCCTTCACGGAAGCGAAATCACCACATCCTTTTCTGCACAAATCCACTAGAGGTGAGCACAAAACCTGATAGAAAATCTTAATAAAGTATATATGTTTTAATCAGTCTAATAATATGGATGCAATGATATGTCATTCTCCAAAACCATGGGTTTTATTCTTTAAAAATCTCATGCCATGCTCTTTTCGAAAACATAACATCTCAACGAAATCAAAAATACTAATATGGGGTGGTAAATACGACTCAGTTAATCCCTAGTCTGGTGTCTGCAAGTAGACATACCAAGTACTACCAAGGCCACTTTACCGGTTCTTAACCAGAAAGAAATTTGGAACCTATCGTGCGGGTTTTTGGATTTTTACCAAGAACCTCAAGCCAACTTAACAAATACCAAACTACACTCCTATCTAGACTTACCAACGTATTTACCCAAAAACATTTCAAGTTCAAAGGTTGTCTCATAACCATAACTGGATTTTTTCAAAATCATAGCTTTAATAAAACATTATTCAAAAGATATGCAATGAATGAAAATGGAGTGCAAATTTAATATATTCTCAATAAGCAATCCCCAAAATTAACAACATTCTCTCAATGTTAACACAATGTTCAACACTTCTTAAAATCATTGCAATTACCGATATTTCTCAAATATCATCCAACAATGTATATGTGACACGTGACAATATTCCATATTCACAATCAATTTAAAAACATAATTTAAACATATTTCCATCATGCTATTCTTGGCAATCTTTCACTAACAATTTCATCCATCTCATGGACGCCTCAACAATATATATAACATATGAAAGTTCATCATCTCTTTCCACTAAATCCTAACATATAAGAGTTTTCACAAAAATCAACCTTCCCCAATTCCCTCGATCTAGGTTTTCTTCCGAAACCAGCTTCTCTCATTTTCAAGAGGTACTTCCCTCAATGGACTCCCAAGAGTCTTATAAGTTCACAAAGCAAGTTAATTTGTGTAAAAAAAAAATTACGAGAGAAGCCCCCTTTTCAACATTTCAAAAGTTACAATACAAATCCTAAGCTTCCAACACAATGATCTCATTAATAGTAAGTCAAGACATGCTAAAATCATATATACAACTTAAAGACTCCCTACCTCAAGTTTGGATAGGAAGGGTGAGAAAAGCCCTAAGATTTTGTCGGTGTCGAAAGTTTATCTCCTCCACTGCACAAGTTGTAGCCCTTGGTGAGGTCTCCAAAAAGTTCCAAAGCACTAGGGTCAAAATCCTAATGGGTTTGGAGAAATCAAGGAATAAATGAGGTTTGGTGAGAGTGAATGAAGAGACAAGTGTGTTTTAGAGAGATAGAGAAGTGAAAAGAATGAGATAGAGAAGTGAAAAGAATGAGATAGATTTAGACTAAGGGAAGGAAAAGAGAAAAATTTTAGACATAAAACACTCCCGCACTTGCGCGCCTTTTGCCGCACGTGTGACGTGCTCTCTTCGCACATGCGGGCCCCATGGCTGCACATGTGGTTTCCAACACAAAGGCCAAACCAAACTTAGAGGAAAAATCCGCACGTGCGACACAACCATTTCCGTACGTGCAACACCTTTCCGCAGTGCCCTCCGCACTTGACTTTAAAGCAGAAGCAAACCTTTGAGATTCAACCCTTATTGAACGTGCGACACCTCCTTCGCACGTGCGGCTCACACCCTTGCACGTGCAGTTTTGTTTATCGTTCTTGATTCGCAAGTTTTGTCATGATTTCTCCAACCACGGGCCCGACTCCGCACCCAAAACAAGAAAAACTCAACTCTGTGAACAAATTAGGTTATCAACACGAGGAAGTTTTCGAGAGTGGTGAATTCACACAACCAATGAGGCCTCAGATTGAAATCAAAAACCCGAAATTATGAAATTAAAGGAAGAATAAAACGGGTGACATACCCGGCACATCGCAATGCCATTCAAAGATTTTCACGAGTAGTAGCGTTGCCATCGAACTGCTAGCCTCTAGCTATAGGACCCCCATGAGCGTGGTTGAACCCAAGCACATGTCCGTCAGTTGGCACACAAGGCTTTGTTGGTGCCTTGATAACCCATTCAGTCTAAGGACACCCCTAAGATGATATAATGCTGGGCATAGTGGGTGTGTATCCCAAACCTTGCACTTGGGAGGAATGTGCAGTGTTAACACTCATGGCCCTTGATGACACCGTCCTTGAAATTCCCAAACCCACATGGAGACCTTAGACATGCCTCATGGATGCTAAAGGTCTGCCCCCAGGTTCCCTTGGGGTTGTCTATTTCAAGCCCACTTCGTGCAGGGAGGCAGGTAGTAGCACACCATACCCCCTTACAATAGCATTTTGAGCCATTTGTTGATGGACATGAGGAAACATTGACCATGTTTGAGTCATAATGATTTTTTAAGGCCTTGTTTGGCATATACTAAAAAATTCAAAAAGTCAAAAAGTCACTATCCTATTTAAGTCACATCACTTCTCTACCACATCACTTCAAACCCAACCCATACCCAACACATATTTCATAAAAAGTCAAAAAGTACACTTATTTAGAACATTCTAAACCACCCCTAAGTTTCACAATTATTGAAAAATCCTAATCTTTTAAAGTGGGAAACTACACATCCTCATGAGTTGCTAGTGAAAAATCTCATGCCAAAACTTCATCATTTGAGCCCCTGAATCGTATGTCAAAGATTCGCCAAAACTTGCCCCACCAGGTTGCTTGACGTGCATTGGCATGCATGCTTGGGCAGGTGAGCACATGGGGCATTGGGTGTGTTGTGTGACATGCACACCTCTAATTGGAGCCATCCTCTAGGCTATGTTGGGGTGTC